ACATAGGATAAGTTCCCTTTTGATTTGCTCCACATTTTATATTGCCTTTATTTTATACATGGCGCAAATCGCTTTAGTAAACTACTGTCAACCATAGTAAGGACTGTTATTAGTGGCCATCAACAGCAGTGCACTAATAAGTTCACTTCACCGACCTGCTAAAAGTATGCTAAGAGTATAAAAGTGATAGAGTAAAAAGAGCCTAGAGATGCAAAGCCTCTTGGCTTGTTCATCTTTACCAACCTCACAGGCGACTACCGCCATGTTTGCACCGAAGGTGTATATTTTTGGAATATGTCTAAATTTGAACTAGTGTCATCTCTGATGGGATATTTCGAACTGGAACGAAAAAGCTCTTACCGGGAGGGGTGTTTAGAACAACAGCACCGGAAGCTTCACTGATTGCGATCGGCGACCCCAACAGCGCCGCGACGGTGTACGTGTAAGTTCGATTGAGTTCCAGATTACTGACTATGAAGCTAGTTTCGGAGGTATTGAACACATCTGACACTCCATCGTAAACGTTGTTTGCTTCAATTCGATAGGAAAGATTACACCGCCTCGTCTCAAGTGGAATAGGATCCCAGGAAACGATGTGGGAGGTTGCATTCACGTAGGTAACCTCAATATTGCTTGGTACTTCGGGAACTGTTGAGTAAACATAAAATAAAGAAGGCCCAGTGTACGCTATGGGTACCGCAAAAGAAGAACATGCAGAGTTGGTGATTACTATATGGTCTATAAGTGAGGTGAATGTTGTCCACAAACCTGGGGCTGTTGTGCGAACGAATATGTCATCGGATGCCACTGTACCGAATGGGTTTGTCGCAACAACACGTAAGATGAACTCGGTGCACGGCGGGAGCCGTGTTACTCGGATCTGGGGCGTTTTCGTCACGCGTTCTGTGTAGAAGGTGTCCCATTCAGTTGCGTTGAGTTCCGTTAGAGTAACTTTGTAACTCAAATCCAGCTTAGTTGGTTGGGCATCCTTCCACCGGAGGGAAATTGATGTTGGACCGGGATCCACTTCGAAATCTTCTGGTTTATTTGGCGGGGCTTTTAAGAAAGGATGAAAATGGTGGTCATTCACAGAATGTCTATCCAACTATTGTTTCACAAGTATCAAATTAGGCGGTGTTCCTGCAAAAAATTCCAAGGGTAGCTGTTAGCCAAAGTTAGTTCCCGAAGAAGAGCATACCTTTCAAGTATTTCTAATATCGTGTCTTGATGAAATTCTGTTTCATTTGGTTGCTTTTTCTGTCCAAAGAAAACGACCAACTGCTTGAAATTGAAGGCGAAGATTATGCCATTTTCTAAGTGATGTACACCCTAGAGGTAAACGAGCCCGCTGGTGTGCTTAATTCATTTCTGAAATCCTGAAAACAAGGTTTTGAACTCGCTACCTTCGGGGATACTGCTTACACCTGGGATCTTGATTCAGTTCGCACAAGAAGCATCAATGACAATAAAAGTTTTAGGCGACAAACAATAGTTGAATTTTAGTCACAGATGAAACGTCCAAAACTCAGGGGACTTTTACCATGGGAGGCGTAGATATACAGGGTTTAAGAAGTCCAAGTAATAGAGAGTGGAATGGTGGCTTATTGGAGAGTTTGGGCCAGTTAAGTGACAGACAAAGTTGTGCTAATTCGAAATAAGAATTGACAAATTCACCACCATCGTTTGGATGCCCGTTTTTTTGTCTGGGTGATGATTCTGGGCAGTTCACGTCAGAATTTGGTTGCGTATTGGGGAAGCCGTCAAACGTCCATAAATGGTGACAGTTACCTTTATCTTTTAGGATGACTAAGGCCAAACAGTGTCATTCTGTACAACTCATTTCTCTTACAAACTGAACCCAAGATTCTTCGCTCAGAAACCATGGACACACTCATAGGAGAGATTCGGGATGTCACCGCTGTACTTCCGAGTGCCCAAAACTATGTCAGCGGTCGATCCGGGTCAGTGCTGCTTCGTTGTATTTGCATTTTTTGCAACAAAAGATGCAAAGCTGTGTTAACGTCGAGATTCACGTCCCATGAAGCATTCAGCTATCCTTTAACTGCCCTTGCGAATTCTGCTTGGTTGGTCCTACCATGTTGCACAGACTTGCCAGCCCAAAGAACCACTATGTATGGTGATGGTAACGTGATATTCTAAGGCATACGGGTCGTTTCAATCTCTAAAATTCCTAGCATCAACACTTGGTTCTGTAATGTGCAACACCCAGGAAAGAACAATTTTTACCTGGGAATTCACAAGTGATTTCACTCAGAGGGATATCAGAAATGAACCCACGCATTAATTCAACAGTTCACAGATTGTAGGAACGTAACCAAATATAGCCTACCTGATGAGCCCCGAGAAGGGCGAAACCGGTCGTGGGCTGTTGACGAATTTTCAGCAACCTTATGAGTAGTGCATTACAAACATACATGTATCGCAAGATCTCGAATATCGTAGCGACTGAAACATGAGGCGGCCTGGTGCAACACATTCATTTGCCTGGAAACATCACAAACGAGAGAGATTCACCTGGATTCGAGGTGAGTCTCTCGAAAATCAAATTAGTTTGTAAGCGAGTGTATTTCGCCGAATATAGCCTTCATTTAATGAATCAAACTTCTCTTTTTACTTCCACAAATAAATCCACAAGGGGGAACACCAAGAACACTTTCGATGCACCGTCGAGCCAGATTAGCCTGATGACTTTTGATAGCATGGGCACTGTCGTTGTAGTCTAAAACCAAGTTAGTGTTTCTTCCTGTCGAGTTTTGGTCGGTAATTTGGGTCAGTTCAGGCAGGCATGGCCGTCCTGGCCGTCGAAGACTGATGATACAATTGGAACAGAATGATGACGTGTCTACATACTGGTAATTAGTTACTTAGAGGTGAGATGGCTCAAATGGCTAGATCGCGAGTTTACTGACCGGGAGGCCCGTGGTTCGAAGCTGACCTCTCGGCTTCCTCCGTCTAGGCTTGGGCAACCTGACAATATCCCAGCCCTCGTGCTTCCTTCTGGTAGCATGGCAGCTAGGGTGTTACAGCTGAACGATTTTTTAATTAGTTAATTGGATGTTTTTCCTGTGAGAGTTGATCTGTTTGCTGAATTTGGAAATTGGATTGCAAACGTTTCATCTCCATGAGGGAAGAAATGATCATCCCTTGGTTGAATCGAATCCGGACCGCACAGAATGGAATCCATATTACTTAACGCGCAACTCCTTCATTTATTCGAACTCAATGTGGAAAGCTACCTGATAAGGTACAAAGAACTTTATTTTGTCGTTCAACTTGCTGTGCGGCTCTGTTTGAATGCACAGTACAGTTGGCCAATGATATTTGTAACGACACTTCGGTACGGAGGCATTAAGGCGTGTGACACTTTTTGTGACTATCTCACTTGAGAGATAGATCAGAAGGTTTGTTCGATATACTTCTAGCTAGTAGCTCATTGCATTCCATGTTTACATACTGGCATCCCATATAATCACCAGTGAACTTATAGAAAGTTCAGAATGAATTTAATTTGGCATTAGTAGCGTCTGAGAATTGCAGACTGACGACGTTTGTGTGAGGATGTTCTACGAAGCGCTCAAAGTACTCGAATGTACTCCGTGTGGTAAACTTGAACATGACAGCTCCTGGGTGACTTCGTTGAAGACAAAGTGCAGGAACCATCTTAGGAGAATTAGTGGATCCACAACGGTGTGATTCACAGACAGAAACCTTCTTGAAGTGAGTTCCTCAATATTTGTCGTACGACAAACTTCCTCAGCATTCAAAGCTGACTACTGCATTGGTACCGGAGAACAGGGCTGTGATTACATCCACAACCAGAAACACCTCTGATTCTGACTGGTTTTACTGCCATGCAGTCGGATATATCAGAACATGGCAGTACCGAGTGATTTGGTTGAGTTCTATCTCACAGACCGCTGAAAACATCAAAGTGACTCTCACAGTAAGGGAGGGGCCAAATGGAATGTTATCCAGTGAGTCGAACACGTGGCTACTCTCATCAAAGTGAATTCATCTGTTTTGTGTCGCGCCATCAGCTACTTAAGCTCAAGCAATCTCGTGGCAGCCAAAAGGTTGCACGACTTCAAGTTAGGTCGCCGTAAAGAACAAAAATTAGTTTGATACAGACCTGAATCACGGCAGCGCTTTCGGTCTTAGCATGGAAAGGCAAGCTCGCCATGAATTTAACTTGTTTGGTTAAAATCAGCCTGTGTTATCCAGTTGATTCTACCTCACTGGAGCGTACAAGTCCAATACACATCTAACATCTTTAAGCTCCGAATGTTTCTTGCTTTCAGGTGGATTGTAAAGTACACAGTTCAAATGAAGCGCATTTCTCCAACACAGAGAACAAATCATAGTTCTGAACGCGACGATGAAGGGATCAAAAACAAAAGGAGACATGCGTTCACAAAAAGTGCATTTTATAGACGAAATATGCTACTCATAATGTTGCTGGAAACTCTTTGACAGCCAATAACCGGTTTCGTCCTTTTTTGGGACTAATCAAGTAAACGCAGTCCCCGAGTTTCCTCATGTTCTAATTCAACCCAAATTGCTCAACGAGAGATTCAGCTTCACCCCGTTTATACAGTCCTGTTAGAATGTTGCATGTGATTGTTTCTGATAATGATAGGCTTGGGCGTAATGGTAAAAGGAAGAAGGCCCTCGCTGCGGAGTTATTTATTTGAAAATGTCAACTGACCAGTTATAGACGATTGGACAGGGAAGCAAAACTCTCATATGCGTCTTGTTTAAAAAACTGAACATCCATCTTCTCTTGAACACGTCTTCCTGAACTTTCCCAGATATTCACTGACTGTTGCTCAAATCCAAGCAAATGCTACAAAGCGACCCCACAAATTCCGCAACAGATCTCCCTTTTCAAGAGACGCAAAGCAAATTTACAGGAAGGAAACATACTACTCTCATGCTTCTCCATCAGTAGTATCACCGTTACAATGGTATCTTTTCTTTGTGAACATCTGGTAAATTCTGAGTCGCGGTTCTTCATTCTCCGCCCCTCTTGCTCTATGATTTTGGGAAGATTCTAGAATTTCTTCAGGGTTTTTACTCGTGATTTTTCTCCTGAATAAGGCGACACGTGGTTGTGCCGTTGATGGCCGAGTTGAATTTGTTGGTGAATTGAGCTTTACCAAAAATGACGGACATTCCCCCCTTGTTATCTGGCAAAATAATGATGGTTTCATCCCCATTGATGCTCTTAATTTGCCGCAAAAACAGCGTGCAAACACAACCACAAGAAGAAAAAACTCCGCACTAGAGATGTCACTTCATTTGGTGATGAAACGTTTGCAAGTCAACTGCCGAGCTCGGATAACAGAGGAAAAAGCACATTGACTTGTAGGTCACACACATCTTTTCCAATGCACGCACCGCACGCTTATCCTTTCAATTTGTTTGGAATATACGGCTTTCTTGAAAATAGTTCTTAAAGCTAATGGCGGGAGAGTTTAATCCGTGTATATTTTCCACTGTTTGAAAGTGTAGGACAGAAATACGCCGAAAAAAAAACATTTAGGTGTACATACCTTCGCTTCTTGCTATGATCACCTTCGTTTCGGACGGGAGTGATAGTCCACAGGCATTGTGTGCAAAGACAGAAACGTGATAACTTTGGTCGCAGACGAGATTTCGTATTAACAGTTCGTTTTCTCCTGTGATATGGCTATTTTCTTCCTTGCCATCAAGTGAAATGACTTTGATTTTGAACACAATCACGGCGGCTTCTGGTTCAGCCTGAATCCACCGGATAAAGATGGTCCCACAGGAAGTGTCTTGATGAATAATTTGTGGTGCTTGCGGTCGGGCTTGAAGTAATAATGAATGAAAAATGGGAAGAACAGCTATCGTAAACTGAGAAATCTGCACGTAGCGGGTCAGAACCAATTTTGACTTTGCTTACATAGGCCTGGGTAGTCCTCCCACAAAAACATGTTCCAGGTATACGGACCGAACCTAACTCTAAATGGGTCGAATGGTTAGGTTACTGTTGCTACGGCCTACTCAGCTGTTGTGGTTTCCAACACACCCTGTTGTTGTATCTTGCGCTGGCCGTCTATGGGTTAGGCCTGCGCTGAGCCTGCCAGACTACGTGATAGGGAGAAGTTAGAGACACAGACAGGGGACACGGCTGTATTGCCAGGACAAAACATACAGAGCGTCTGCGTAAATATATAAGATGACTAATTGGCCAAATATGGTCGTTCACTTGTTCGTTCCGTACGGCCAATGGTGGTGTTCCGGTCGTGAACATTCTCAGGCCCACTACGCTGGTCGTGTGTGTTGCTAAGCCGTGTTTGGTGGGACCCGCCGACTCACCTACTTTCCGGACGTGTCGTACCGATGGTGAACTTGGGGATGCGTCACTCTCTGCACATGTGCTTTTTCTTCTGTCTGGGTGCGCCCTGACATCTGTCAGTAGTTTCTGTATGGCCGAACTGGTTCATATTGGTAGTGTCTTTCACATTCCACAAGTTGCAATGCATTCTGTGAGCGGGCCATCCCCTTGAGGGCTCTCATTCAAAAAAAGAATGCAACCAACATGAAATTCTTCCCACTGGAATATCCTCACACAATTATAAAGTTGCAAAACCATGATTCACAACTTTCTTGTCCTCGGAATCGCTGGATTGTCTTCCAGGATCACAGACCTAGATGCATAAACCAAAGGTACTTGTTGCCAGAACAGCTGTAACATGTTAGGTAAGGTAGTCTTGTAAATAACATATGTTTATCCCACGAATACAGTTACAGCAGGGATCAAAGGAACCGAGAAATGGATGTAGCCAATGATCCCAAAGCATCTCGAATGAGGATTCGAACTCAACTCACTGACCGCTGACCTAGAAAACAATGGGTTGTCGGTCAAACTCTCCCAGCACTTCGTCAGGTAGAACTACTTTATTCCAGCAGCTAACTGGAGGAATGCGCAATAGCATATTCAAATATTCAAATAGCTTTTCAATGCAACCGACACCACAGATGAATACTTTGGGCAGTGACTCAGTTGATCGGTGGAGCACGAGAACACGAGAACTGCTTGGAGAGAGCGCCTATATCGAACATTCCAGAACAGTGGAAGCACCCACGAAGTTTCAACAGAGGGGAAAATTGATTACCTTTCCCACAGGGCCGCAGTGATGATAACAGCACCGCCAAACAAGTGAACGGATCACATAATCGCAAAAGTACAAAATCCAAAAGTACAGTAAGTATACGATAAATAAAATGAGTACAAGTCCCTCACAAATCAACGAAGATAAAAACGACTTCAAGACAGAAGCAGAAGAATGACAGGCATGTAGTAAACACTACAAGTACCAAAGTGATTACATAAACCGTCAGTGGTCAATCTGAACTAGAGATTTCTACACGGCGAAAGAGTACGATGAAACTGTCAGAAAACACGGTCAAGTAGTTCTCTCTTCTATGAACGAAGGTCAAGAAAGCTACCAGGTCCATCTAGAAATCCGATAATCATAGTATGCAGGAAAAACGGATAAACGTGGAAGGTCCCGGAAGCATGATATTTCGCTACAAACTCAATAAAGCGACATACAAATCGATCTATTCATGCACCACTGAGAGCAGGGCGATATCCAGCTTGATAAAACAACGGTCTAGCTAGCAGCTCTGTCAGCCATTGAACTGTCTGTGAAATGGCCATCAAGTGGGAGTCAGTTGGACATCGAGGAGTCACAGGACTGCCCAACTAGTCAACCAAAAAGATGAATTTTCCGAACGACCAGTCACAATGGAAACTCATTATCACCCGGGGAGGGGTCGCTCGAGGTTAATCAGCTACGCATTGGCCATGTCACCTGGAACGGTGACGATACTTTTTCGACAGAACCCTCAAGCTCAGAAAAGAGGAAATGGCATGGTTCATTGGTGTGTGTTACTGATTCCCATCGGAATCACCATCAGCATCATCGCCATCAGGAGCACAACATTGGTGTTTCATACTGACACTCTACTGACACCAGGGGTTGCCAACCATTCCATCACATCGCTAACAAAACATCACAAATAATTCGTCCGAAGCGGACACTCCATTCGGACACTAGTTGATATGATTTGTGCACTAGTGAATCCCGAACACGTACTGAGAACAGTCAGTCTTTGGTTGTTGGTCTGTTCGCTGAGCTTGGCAGTTGGATTGCAAGCGTTTCATCGCCAATCCAGGTGACATCGTCAGTCCAGGTTTGAGTGCACCCTGCACTGACGATGTCACCTGGATTGGTGATGAAACGTTTGCAATCCAACTGCCAAGCTCGGCGAATAGACCAACATCCAAGCAGCGCACCCGAGCTTCCTACATTCCATAGCATTGCTAACAGTCAGTCCTCTTATGAATTGGTTCATACGGATAATGGAACGCGTGAGGTGGTCGATGAACTGCTGATTGCTAATTGAATGCTTCAGAGCAATAAATTTCGGTTGATGGGAGATAAAACATTTCTCATCTTGTATTTTTTCTACGGCAGGAGAATGACCTAGGGATACAGATGGGGTTAGTGTTCGAATGCTACAGGCTGTTTCAGCAATTCAGTCTACACAGCAACCTACCGAGGGGTTCCGTTTGGATAGTCTTTGTGATTGGTAGCGAGACAGTCGCCAAATTGTACGCTGACAGAGAGACTGTATAGACTGTGCAGGGCTTGAGTGGTTCAATCAGGTACCAGGTTTGTAAATCCGTGATTTTTGCCGCAACCTCTGTTTCGTTTATTAGATACGACAATCGGTAGGCGATGGAGAAGGTCTGATTCGGTGGAAGGGACCATTTTGCCAAAATCGAATTTGTGGTAGCCTCGAGTGTGAGATAGAGTGCATTCGCTAAAAAGTAAAGTCAGACGTGTGCCAGTATCAAAAAATCAGTGAAAAGCGAACGCAACTATTAGTTAGAGAACTAGGTCACGCACTATTCAACTTACTGGACGGAATTTCGCTCGTACTTAGAGATACTTCTTCTGAAAATTGACCCGCAAGTTTTTGTTTTCCCGCCAGCGCCCTAACACGATAAAAGTATTTCGTATCCCAATTCAGTAGTTTTGCCTGGTACTGGGTATCCTCAACCACCGCACTTTCCCATGTGTCGTTCTCAGTGCGGAAAATCACTTCATACTGAAGCGAACATGACTGCGAGTAATTTACGGGTGGCAGCCAGGTGAGCTGTTGTCCGGATAACGAAGGATCGTTTACCACTGTTGGCATGGTTGGTTCGGACGGAGCTGTCGGTTGAAAGTAAACAGAAGAAAATATTCATTCAGTGGTTGGATGAACGAACACTAAGAGGGTCTAGTGTAACTTTTGGTAAAATCATCACTGAGGCCTCGTGAATACCTCGTAAATACCAAACAATAGTTCGATAGCTAGGCTAATATTGATCGCGTGTGCAGTTTATGTGATCATGTAGTACGCTTCACACAGATTTCAAGTGGATGACTGATATGTTTTGTATAGCTTGTTTCCTATCTATCG